TAATTCGGCTGACTTTTATATTTGATCCAATTGGTAGATATGCTGTATTTACACCAGGGGTGCCCAACCAGTCGATCGCGATCGACCGGTCGATCGCGGGGAGATTCCCAGTCGATCGCGAGATGTGTCTAAAAATAGAACAACAATATTCTGTTTTATCGTTAATGTCCTGTAACATAATCTTCCTGTGCCAGAATAATGCACATGAACGCATCAAAGCTTTGTGATTGGCCGGCGTGACCCCATGTGTCGGGGCGTGGCTGGTTAGCAGTGGACTAGTTCGCTAACGTTGTCCGTGTCAACAGAAGTGACAGTCCGCACACACACAAGACCGCAATTATGGCAGAAGCAAAACATATATAATTTTCACTCCGAGTGGGAGGATGATTATATTTGTATCTATTCCAATTCAAAGTCCATCTGTCTCATCTGCAATGCGAGCGTGGCTTTATCGAAGAAGGGTCATTTAGGAGCGGCATTTCAAAACAGTGCACAAACGCTACGAGACGGAATTCCCTCCTAATTCTGCCCTACGCTCCCAAAAGGGGAGGGGCCTGAAAGGACAGCTAAATGCACAGCAGTCCATTTTCACCAGGCTCAACAACAAGAGCAAGGCTGCTACCAGAGCATCTTATCGTGCCAGTCACGTTCTTGCGAAACACATGAAGTCTTTCAAAGACGGCGAAGTTGTGAAAGAAGCATTCCTGGAGGCTGCCGATGCGTAATAAAAATAACAGTAGCATTTCAACAGTTTTTTGATATGATAAAAACTCAAGTTAGATACCGTTATTAATCAGCTGTAAGTTTGAGTTTGTTTGAACTTATTCATTATAATTAATGTACAAAATGGTATAAGAATGCAAACATTAAGATCTGTTCTTTTTAAATTGATTATAGTCTATTATCAATTCAGGTTAAGAAACTAGTGTTGCTTGCATCCTATTTTAAAGGCATTTATTTTTATACTCTACTAAAATGCAACAAAAAAAGGGTTTGATTCTTTTAATTTTGTCTTTTGTATTGCACTGTTGCAGCAGATTCCTGTGTAGCTTCAGATCTGAGTTGTCTTATTAGTAAGCCTAATTTATACTTTTGTAGCAACACTATTTTTATATAATGGCAAAGAAAAGGTAAAGAGTCTTTTCTTTTTTCCCTGTGTCATATTTGGCAGGGTTGTGTAACCCTTATTGTAACATAAGGGTTACACAACCCTTGTGTAACTTCAGTTAAATACTTGTATGTGTGTAGATTAGAAAGAGGTAAAATAAAGGATCTGCAGTATTTTATGGAGTATTAATCGTACAAAGGCTAGTTTTATACAAGTAGAAGTGTGTATTTACCTGGTAGTAGGCTGTCAGTAACTACGCCTCTCTATTTGGACTGGTAGATCTCAGCAGACTGGCAACTTTAAAAGTAGCTCTCGGTTCAAAAAAGGTTGGGCACCCCTGATTTACACCATAAAGGTGCACAGCTGATATAAAGGGACACCTAGTGGTTAAAGCATGTTATTGAATTTCATTATTTTTATTATTAGATATTAATAGGATCCCTATAAAGTATATTCATTACTCGTTATTCTCTACTAATAGTTAATTAAAGACTGTATATAATGACTATTTTGCACATCCCTTTCAAGATTTCAAGATTTTCTAAGGTTTATTGACATATCATATAGGCCCACACAACTATGGTGTAGTTCTGCATTGAATGAAAAACTTGGGTCGCAGGTTCCTCAATAGTGCATTACAAGACATCTATCAATATTTGTGCATACCTCCAGCAATGTTAACTATGTTGAAGCACTTATTTTAACTGATATTATACATAATGTATTATACTCTTATAAGATGTATGTAGATATTTAATCTCCGGCCTTGTCAGGTATTGAACAATCAATAAATAAAGAACACAGAATTGTTGAATATAAAACACAGAATTTGTGTGATTATACTAAATGATTTACAAATGAACACCACTGCATATTTAACTGTTACACATGCTGATGTAACGCAAATGTTCCAACTTGGGATCAATAAAGTATATCTTATCTTAAGCTGATCGATGGCTACTGCCATATTTGCAAAATGTGCCTCTGAACCTTGACAAGTGCATGTTTCAGGCTTATCAATTAATGTAATGTAATGTTATCAATTAACAACAGGGGTCACAAACATAAGACCAGCTGTTAAATAAAGCTCTTCTGACCTTAGCTGGCATGTGTGTATATATATATTAATGCTGCCCATTATGGGCACAAGCAATTTTCACCCATTTATTAATTATATGTTTTAAATGTGAGTGTTTCCTATCCCCTAAACCTCCAGGGATGTACACAGTTTAATACTGGCAACTTCTTATTATGGGAAATACGAAAACGTCTTTTAAAACTACAACTCCCAGTAGAGACGTGCCATAGATAGAGAACATGTTGCGAAACAGAATAGCCAGCATGTGTAGTTCTGGGGGGGGGGGGGGGGGGGGGGGGGGGGGGACGCGGTGGTCCCGTTCAAATCCAGTTTTGGACATTCTGCCGTTCGAGGCTCGGCGTAACCCTCGGAGCACACTCTCCAATCACAGAGCTTGAGGACTATCACGGGGTTTGTCAAACAGAGCACATGGTGTAGTCCAAACGATAGCTGGGGATTCTGGGTAGTGTAGTGTCTTCTGCCATCCTTTACTCCGAAAAAATATTTGTTTCTCCGAATCGAAGGGGGAAAATACAAAAGCATTGCACACAATTTAAACCAATCAATGTTGTGTAATTAACAAGGATAATCTGGTGTTTTTTAGTCGATGAGTAGTGCAGATAACACTGTAAAATCAATCGACAGTAAGGGGAATACTTACTTCCGGGTGTACAATTATCCGTTATCCAATGAGAATGGACGCTCACATTGCCTTTAAGGGCAGTCGACACAAACGAACGCCGTGCTTCCATGAGCGTCCATAGAAGCATATGGACATCCCGGAAAGCTGAAAATGGACGCTAAGAGCCCCCCCCTTGCGTTGAAAATGGACGCTAAGGCCCCCCCCCTTGCGTTGGAAAAAGCCGACACAGGACTTGACATAACGTCAACATAGGCCGACCTGGGAGTGAGGATGTGTTGGCTGTGTATATCTAGTGCAGGGGTAGCCAACACGGTGCCCGCGGGCACTCAGTCTCCCGCAGGGGCAACGTGAGGCGCCCGCCGGGCACGTTCTAAAAATAGCTCGCCAAGAAAATCCAAAATGTATAAAATACACAAAACAAAAAAGGAAATGTAATTAAAAGAATCTACCCTATGCATAAACGAAACCTAAATCATAGCGAACTCTATCTACTTACTACAACTCGATATCTATCTAACACCCCTCCTCCCCCCACCCCCACAATGAATATCGACCAATCACGTTCTTGCTTGATTTGCGGGACCAGCGTTGCAGTCGGGAAGAAAAGCAATGTGGCACTTCCCCGCTGATTTTCCTTCTGGCAGAATCTACACATCAGACCCATTGAACTAGTCATGCCAGCCTATACAACACATGAGGGGCAGAGTTTTACTCTGTGTGTTGTAACTTGCATATATATTTATTCCACTTGACCACACACACATGGCGTAATCTCCAGGGGGGACATGTCCCCAGCTCTTTTCGAAATCCCGTTTGTGTCCCCCCACTTTACAAATATGTTTATTATTATTTTTGAACGCAAGCCGTCATCGCCACGGAGGTGCACACAGATTGTGTGTGTGTGTGTGTGTGTGTGTGTGTGTGTGTGTGTGTGTGTGTGTGTGTGTGTGTGTGTGTGTGTGTGTGAGAGAGCACCCCATTTATCTATTTAATATAGATAAAATAAGAAATAATTCCAATGTGTACAATAGGACAGTACAAAAAATTGTTTAAAAGGGGAGTGATTAGTAAAATATGCATAAATAAAAAGAAAGAATGCTAAGGTAACATAAGATAAGAATAAACAAGTTTAAATGATTTGTTATTGGTTGTGATAAAGATGTTTGGATTATTGAAAAGTATACAGCTCCCTTTCATCTGAGTGTTGAGAGCTGTATCCATAAATTCATGTTGTGTTCAAAGTGCTCCAGATTGATGCATTTAACTTCAACATTTAAAAAAAAATCTTCCCGGGGGAGCATGCCCCCTGGACCCGCCTAGAGGAGGTGAGGACCCCCCTAGAGGAGGTGAGGTCCCCCCTGGAGGATGTGAGGCCCCCCCTAGAGGAGGTGAGGTCCACCCCCAAATAAAGCAGGTTAAAATAATTTAATTGCATACATGCTATTTGAGTAAACACTGAAAACAAACCCAAACAGCACACAAAGGTTAAAGGTAAGCATATCATAATGTTTAAAATGTGCTAAATATATACACTGCAAAAAACTAAAAAAAGAGGAGTAAAAGTAGCCCCCGACTTGTTTTATTTTTAGAAAGTAGCCCTCATCCTAAAAAAGGTTGGTGACCCCTGATCTAGTGTATTCATACCCCTCACTGTTTATTCATCATTCAATTCATTCTATATTGTATTCTGTCTATTGTGTAGGCCAACATTACTTTTCACTTTACTGCTTGTTGCACTCCTGGTTGGAAGCTAAACTGAATTTTGTTGTCTCAGTACCTGTAATATGTACAATAACAATAAAGTTGAATCTAATCTTGAGCAGGAACAAATGTATTTACTTAGTACATATCTGACATTAACGATTAAACACATGTGTGCATTCTTTATAAATGCAAACCGAGTCAAGCCGACTCCGGAGGTGGCGGTATGCACCTTAAAGTTGTTTGCAATCCGCCAAATAACCGAGAGAAGAAGAAGAAGGCGAAGAAGAAGATGAAGAAGAAGAAGCCGACTCGGAGCTGTCCGACTTCAGGCGAGCTTTTTGAGACCTCCCCCGGCTGCGATCGGCTATTCTCGTCTACTTTCGAGGCGAGCCGCAACGCGTCTCAAACAAACCTAGTTTTTCCCCGAAGGTCCCATGGGTCGGAAGTAGATGGGCGGGACTTCGCCTCTCACGCTGTATCCACTCCAGTTTGTATTATATATCCATGATGGCGCTGGCCAGGATTGGTAAATTATGTCGGTCGTTGGTACATGAACCTTCGAAAGGACTGTTTGTTGGAGTTTTACAGCCAGGGTGGATTGAATGCTGCACAGGAGGTAAATTAAACACAATTTTTCAATATGTTTCGTGTCAGGTGACCTTCAAAGCTAGCTGGATTAACAGACAGAGATGCTACACTGGCAGCATGTAAATAACCCACATGTGTGTACAGCTGCCTGTAAATGTGTTGAATGCGTCATAAAAACTCACCAAAACACGGTGTAGCCTACCTGTAGTTTTACTTGCATTATATAGCAGTTGTATGTCCGTCTCATTCATTACATTTGGACATTCGTAATACCCGTACAAGCTTACTCAAGATTGGGTTAATTTTTTTGAGTTATAGGCAATGATGGAAAGTACATTAACTTGTAGTGTACTTCAGTAGAAGTGTGAGGTACTGGTAGGCAAAACGGTACTTCACTTGAGTATTTCCATTTAATGCAACACATTACTTCTACTCTACTATATTTGTAAGCAAATATTGTACTTTACATACAGATTATACAATAACAACAAAATTATACAATAAATACAACATATGAATACACTAATACATCATTTATATTAAAACAGGTCAAGCTAACAACCTATTTATAAAATGTGTTTAAATGAGTTTCACATTTACTAGCAGCAATATCAAAATGATACGCACATTAATGCATCACTAATTATAATCCTATAGTATGATAAATATGTTAATGATATGGGAAATGTTTTGGTACTTTGAGTATTTTGGTGCTAATACTTGCTTTTGAATTTGAAATCTAGGGGTATTTCTAAACTTTTGTTACTTTTATTAATTACAATATCTGAATTCTTCTTTCAACACTGTATTTTTTCTTTGCAGCTAAGAGGCATCTGTTATCACAAGATGTTATCAAATTACAAGAATTCCAGAAAAATAAGCTGGCTGTGGCTCACCTTCTCACTGGAGCTAAAGGTGAACTATTTATTCTTAATGTTTCTAAAGCTGCAGTTGTATGTCCTGCATGATGATCCACAAAGCTTATATCTTTACTTTATTTTACAGGAAATTATATTGAGCTGTTCAGTCAGAAGCTACAGAGGAATGACCTGATTCTGAGAGATGAGCTGAAGCGTCTCCTTCACATGTGCCAATCCGCAGACGACATGGTGATCGCCAGAGATGCCATCTCTAGGTATGGTACATCCTGTATTGATAGTTATTTCAAGCATCCATTACAGCATCAAATCATTGTCCTATCCTCTTTTTATTCTCCAAAATGCCATAAACAATATTAAACTGAACAAAACCAGATGCTACCAACTTCACTTAAGATAACTAAAATATGTCTACAATGGCTTTGACTATCATCATCAATTTTATGTATATTGTATTATTACAACTCAACTTTTTACCACTGACTGATAGGACATAATATGACATTAGTGCAATGTCATTTATATAATTAATTATTCTTTAACCATGTCCTCCTACTATTACACTACTGAGACCTCCAATTCGATACTGTACAAGCATATCTATTTGACCTTCATATGCTCTTACACTAATTTTCGAATTGTAGCTATTACATGTCCTTATTTTTGTCTTATATTTTCAATCTTTCCATTTTGTAATGCAAATGCTGCACATTAATATCCGTATAAATAATAAATACCCTTTTTTTATTATTTTATCTAATCTGTTATTATCCTTTAATTTGCAATCACTAGGTATCATGCAGATAACCGGAACTTAATGTTTGGAGACTTCAGGTTTGGTCCTCTCTTTGTGAGACTGTGCTATGAGCTGGGTATGGAGGACTTGGCTGCTGCTACAATTATGGATAAGGTAAAAAAGAACATAAAAACGATATGCTGTCTAACTTGGATAAAAACATTTGTTATGGTACTATTGACAAAGTTTAAACCAGACAGTGTTGGAATAATAATATTTCATTTGACTTTTCTGAACAGAGTATGAGTGGATTTTTCAGCGAAGCAACGTCTTTCAACATCACCTTAGACATGTTATTCACTAAAGGCTATTATGAAAGTAGGTGACAGATTAACCTTCAAGTGTTTATTTTTTATTTTTCACATAATCACATGTAATATATCAAACTTTGCCTTTTGCAGATTGCCTAGAGGTACTAACAACCATGAGGAAACAACCTGTACCATTCAACATAAACACATTGACGCTGGCATCTGCCACATTCTATAAACTGGTAAAACAAACCAATCAACATGTACAGATCATTTCTTAAAAAAATGAACATTACAGTTCCAATATACATCAGTTATTGTTTTAAGATGTACAATCTCTTTGCCGTTATTTAGTTGTGCGTTATGTTGTTCAGAACACGGAAGAGTCCTACAGGATGTGCACTGCTATGCTCGAGAACGGACTGACTGAAGGGATGACCATCCCCAGGCATGCTCTCTGCTTTGCTGTAGCGTTAGCACTTCGACAGGTTAGTAAGATCTTCTTCACATCTTTCTTTCATGCACAGAGATGTGAAAATATAAAATTGTCATTAATAATATATGTTTTCCTTTCTTTTTGTTCCAGAACGACATAGAAAAGGCACAGTCGTTGTTCTCAAAAATAATGATTCCTGACAGCCTAATATGTCGAAATTTAAAGGCAAGTCTGCATCCTAACTATGGTGTACTTAACTACTTGTTGTTTATGTTGAGTTAATAATATATTCTTCTTTTAAATGATGATTTAGGTTATGATACTAGCAATGTCAGGAGAAGTGACAGACGTCATATCCTTGCTGTCTGCAGCCTTGACGGCAAAAAGCTTTTCTTTTGTCAAGAAGCCTGAATTTTCGCAGGAGGTGGTAAGTTTGCTCCATATCAACTTAAAAAAATAAATCTAGATATCTATGGGTGCATTATTTAAATATTTTACACATTTCAATTAATATTAATGTCAATGCTTTTTTCTGTGGTTCAAAGGATTTTAACCCAAGATAAAAAATGAAAAAGCTACGGATATGAATATGTAAATCTCTGAAAAACCGCTAGTGAGCTCAGTGGCCTCCTATGACCTGTTTCAGGTGGATTTGCTGCGCCTGCGGATTGAAGGCGGTACACACATGCTGAAGGTGGAGCAGATAGTGAAAGATCTGGAGCAGGCTGATCAGGTGACCCAGCAGACCGTCGATGGCATGCTCTGCCACACGCCAACAGGGAAGAGGAGGCCGTCGCTGCTGATGGAACAGAGGAGGCACAGCCGAAGTACTCAGAGCCCACGAGTGGCCACTCTGCTGTCGGAGTGAGAGAAGCCTGCTTTCACTAAAGGCTGAATGCAATCAGTCCAAAAACACTAACTCTGGCTAGAGCAGACTTTGTTGAAGTAACTGATCTACCACTCCTAAAACAGACAGTCATCTATCTGCAGAGCTGGATTTTGTCCCATTTTTTTTTGTCTATCCAATTTGAAGAAGTTCAGTTGAAAAACAGTTCATATTTGTGGAGCAGGCATTGAAATACAAAGCTGCTAAAAGACAATGTTGGATGCAAAATCTTCATGGTTATGAAGCATTTCCTTGAAAGGAAATGGATAATGAATGATTTGGGAAGAATGTGTTGTATATAAAAGTGTGAATGAGTGATTAAAGATACATTTAATAATGGAAAAAGATTCTTCCTCTTGCCTTGATTTGTAAAGAAGTTGGGGGAAATGGTTTTTAATAATCAAGAATTTTACCTCAGGAAATAAAGGAAAGAAACACTTTCCAGGGAAACATAAATAAGGAATTATTTACTATAAAAACTCTGAAGATAGCGACTTGAAAATCACACTGTTATTTACAGTATATTTGTTTTAGATTTTGAGAAAATACAGGGACTGGGGATTTTGTTCTCCAGCAAGTCCAATAAAAGTACATTATGAAGGGATTTATTAAAGGTTACTACAGAAGGAATTATGACAACAGGTATTACATTGCATTTAGCTGACGCTTTTATCCAAAGCGATTTACAATAAGTACATTCGACCATGCAATAAAATCTGTTTCATTGCATGGGAACTCAGTTTGGTTTCTATACACACTTCAAACATTTATTTTGCTGTTAAACATTTTGAATAATAGGACTTCTACTTGTTACGTAGCATTCAGACATTATTGAATGGGTACTTTTACTCAAATGGAGGATCTGAATACTTTTTTTCAACATTGGGCGTATAGAATATTCATTGCAACTCGATTACAATCAAATCTGGTGATAGAAACATGTAAACAAACCTTGACGTGCGTCAAATCGTCCCACAATGCACCGCTCTTATAGGCTGAGTAACCAGGGAAGAGAACAACGGAGCAGACTACCTTACCTGAACCCGAACAAAACGAGGGGATTGTTTAAAGCTTTTTAGGGAGAGTTTAGGGAAGCTTTGCTCATTTATCTGATTGCTAAAGGAAATTCAAAACGGATTCTGTGTTGATATCCACTCCTAGCGGCAGCTGGTGGCGCTGCTGTTAGCATCAGCTAGCCGGTTAGCTGGTACCAACTGACGGGGAGAAGCTGCTGGCAACATCAGCTCAGCTGGAAAACACAAAGAAACAAAGAAAAAAACTAATTAATTATACTTTACATTTTGTATTTCATACAGCAGTGCTGAAAGGGACCGCTTTGTATTACTAAACGAGTGAGCAGTTAGTTTGTTTAGACTTGCTAACTTAATTGTGCTTGGTTCTTAGAGGCTTCACAACTTTAAATACGGTTTAGCTTTTTTAGCTAACATCGATATACAAACACAATGAACACCGAGGAGAAGGCAGCCGCCCCCGTTGCACCCCCTCCAGAGGATGACGGCATGACATGGTGGTACCGATGGCTCTGCAAAATAGCTGGAGTTTTAGGAGGAGTATGTAAGTAAATATCAAAGTACAATTTGTTACTTTGCACAATTGTAATGTATGTATTAGACACTGTCTATCTGGAGTACATTGTTGTTGCTTTATCTATCTATCTATCTATCTATCTATCTATCTATCTATCTATCTATCTATCTATCTATCTATCTATCTATCTATCTATCTATCTATCTATCTATCTGTCTATTTAATGTACAGTGAATACAACTATTGAGGGTGCCAGTTTACAAAGACTTATGTGCTCTTTTCTGTAGGAAGCAGGTGCATTTATTGACTTGTCAGCATACTTTTATACTGTGTGCACTTTCTGCATTAATATAAAACAGGACAGAAAGGGGATCAGGTTAATATTTTGGAAAACAACAACATGTTGTGTATACTTATTATATATACCTAACTGTAATGCTGAGCAATGCCAGACTACAGCTTTGTCCCAGCCCATTGTCCCCTCCCTGTAGCAGACAGTTGTGGGCACCGCCTGTTTGCATGGCTTGCTCATTCCATAACACTATGATATTCCTGATTTTCATCTGTATGATATGAACAAACAGTCCATAGCTGGTATGTTCACTCTTCCCCTCAGTGCGAGACAGGCTATTTTTACTGCTGGCTTTGCAGTTTTCCAGCAGCACTGCAGCTCTCCTTCACAGTGACACCAGAGCCACAGTGTATCACATTAACCAGCTGGGGCACTGCATATTCAATGGACTCTGTATTATTAAGGAGGCTGGATTGTCTAAAGAATCTGGATATACTACATTATTCTTCCCTTGTTTGTGATAGTGTGGGCTAGTCTCGACTGCTGGCAAATGTACCCTCTTTTCTCACTGAGTTTCAGCCTGAAACTGCTGTACATTGTCAACTCTCAAATACAAATACTTTACTTTGTGTTGGTATATCTGGCCGCAAACATTTAAAAATTCCAAAGGTTTTAGCATATTAGTTAGAAATGTGTGCCTTAAGTACCATATCATTATAAATGAGGAATAATTGACACTGATAACATTACTCTGTTGATAAGAAAGAAATGCCAAGGCACAAATGTTAGGAATGTTTTTGTAACATCTTCTTTACTCTTCAGTAGTGAAATAAATAAGTGTGGCATTTGGGCAATTTTACTCCGTTGAAAACATCTGTCTCACATTTGACTTTTTGACTTGTTAGAGAAGGAAAAGCAAAAGGGAAACATTATCTATCTTTGTTCTAAAGCTGAAATTATAAGTAAATTATCGGAAATGTTTTTGTGACAGCAATTATTTTAATCTTGTTTTTTTATTTTGCAAACACTACAAATACCACAGAAGTGTTGCATGGTTGATTGCTTCGTGTTGGATTGAAAACAACTGATAATTGCATTTGATATATTCTAGGACTGGCAACATAGTTTGACTTACTGATGCTGTGTAAATTGCTTTAACTGTGACACTTCCAATGTGTGTGTCCAATGATGTTGTCAAATCACACCTTATTTCAGAACCTCACACACACATTGACTAAAATATTTCACATCTTGATCACCACTTATGAAAACACCAGCCTTGAGGTCAGGCTTATCCCATATTGCACTTGTCACACATTGAAGATAACATATAGTCTGGGATTGATTTGAGGCAGGTACCATTATGTGCATATGTACCTGCATTTTAAACACATAATAGTAATGGTGAAAGCTAGAAAAGGCCTGTATTGAAAATGCTGACATTATCATAAAGTAATCTATAGCAGGGAAATAAAGCCTGTGGAAATGTCACTGCCTCTTTATATAAATGTTGGATTCCTGGATTGTATTCAGTGTTTTTCAGATGTTTTCAAAAACGGTTTTATTAACAGCTGCTTTTCAAAGATATGTTATACGTTTGTGTGTTGTGCATTTCACCCACATACTGTACATTCTCCATATGTTCTGCATTGCTGATTTTCTTCTGCTGTTTTTAGCGCACAGCCTGTACTAACCTGGTACTAACCCAGCACTGTCAATTAAAGTATTTAGTTATCATGGCTTTTATAACTAATGGTCCGGTCTAATGTTTTCATTATCGGTCATACGTCTTATCTTTCTCATAACCTTTAACTTTGTCTTGTCTCTGTGCAGCCTGTGCCGTGTCAGGAGTGTGGAACTGTGTTACTGTCAACCCTTTAAACATCGCTGCTGGAGTATGGATGGTGTAAGTCTTTAGCATTTGTTCTGCTTTAAAAAAAAACTTTAAAAAACTTTAACTTTAAAAAATAGCTTTTTGTTTTATAGGCTGTTGGAATTCAGTAAAAAACAACAACACACATACTATAACACCACTTATTTAGACTGTACAAAGCTCTGTGTACTGTTTGCCACAATGCACAGTGAAGGTGTGGTTTTAAACAGCACGATGATCATTCATTATTTGAACAAGACGGTACTTTATTTGTTCTACTAAAGTTGTAATAAGTTACAGGCACAGATGTTACTGTTTTAGACATCTCCTGAAAGGAAACATACAAATTATAATATATGTCATGATCCATGGGAGCATTATGTTCATGTAGACATGTTGACACAACTTGCTGCTCAAATGACGGAGGCGTTCAGACATTCTTGTTGAGAATATACATGTTGTAACAAAGCCCGCATTGATTTGTCCAGAATTTGAAGAATTTAGCACAGGCCTCAGCCAGCCTTGGTTTTGGTTTTCTTCCCAGATAAAAACACTGTCTGCAGTCAAAGCTTAGCTGCATTGTTACCTAGGCTTTAATTAGTTGGGAAAACCAATGAATCCTGAATGTAGCTGATATTCACTGCTGTATGTGTTTCCTTTTCTTCTCTCTCAAGGTTGACTGCCTTCGTGCTGTTCCTGTGTGAAGTCCCATTCTGCTGCCAGTTCATAGAGTTTGCTAACGCAGTAGCAGCCCGTGCAGACAAATTCAAACCTTGGCAGAAAGCCTTCTTCTACTGCGGGTAAGAACTAATATGCATTTATGTCAACAGAGTCTGTACTTTACTTCATGAAAAAATGTTGCATAAGCATTTGGAGACACTCTTGGGAATGTTGCTGTTTTATCTCCAGCATGTACTTAATATAATTGACTGACTTTTCGTCCCTTTTATTGTTCATTTACAGGTTGGCTCTGTTTCCCGTATTCTTGAGTTTCTCCTTCACAACCTTGTTTGGAAATGCCATCGCCTTTGCTACAGGAGTTCTGTACGGCCTCGCATCTTTGGGCAAAAAGTAAGATGATTTAACATGTAATGATGTAATATATAATATGCACTTATAATGTATCATCTATTTCTTTGAATCTATTTGAACAGCTGTGCAATATAGACCTTTTGCAATTACTCATATCTCTTGATGTTTCCTTCATCAAATCACTCCTCTAAAAGGTCATATTATAACAGGCTCTCATTAAATTCCTTTTTCAACATTAAAATGACTTCATAAGATCTTTATTTTATGCTTCTAACAACAATAATGAGCCTCTTAATTCGTGCAAATGCTCTTCTGACAAGGTGAGCCATGTCATAACCTTGCAATTAACAATGTTATCCTCTCCTGTCATACCCGCTCTCTCTTGGTTTCTACCCCCCCTCTCCCTGGTCATAACTTTTCATTACCCTCCTCCTCTTGCCTCCTGTGTTCCCTTTTTCTTTCCTCAGAGGAGACGCGGTGACTTATGCCAGACTGCAGCATCAGAAAATGGGGGATGAAGAGAGGATGACAGAAAAGGCAAACGGGGCTCCGGAGTGAGACATCTGCGACCTCCTTTTACTTTCTTTAGTCCTTACTGCCTTCCATCCATCCAACGTCCCCTTCCATGCTCCTCCGCTTGTTCCCATTTCTGTCCCCCCATACTTATGGTACTGACTTTATTTATTTCCTTTAACTGCTGCATCCTTATCGTCCTGACCTGAAAGTATCCTAACAGATTGATGTTGGATTCAGTCCAGTATTTGCTACCTGGCGTGTAAATGGGATCTCTCATTGTGACTCGATACCTTCGATTGTACGCTTTGTTTTTATGGTTTTTATGATTTATTATCTTATCCTGGGTTGTTTATATTATTTGTTACCCTTTGTTGTGTTATGTTGTTTGTCTCAACCCTTTTTTCTGCAGGAAAAATGTGAGGTACATCTTTTTAACCCAAAAGCCTTTCAGGAAATCCCAATAGGAGTTAATGATATTGTAAAATGTACATAATTGACTCGATATCAGCTCTTTTGTAGCTCTCACCTCATTATCATTACAAAGTTTTAGGCAGTGGAGTTTCCAAAGAGTTTAATGTAAACGCTGCATTATATTTAAATAATTTATTATCAAGAAGTGAATGTACTCAAATGAACATTTGAAAAATAGTGCTACAAAAGCTCTATGTAGATTTATGATCTGAGGGCTTATTAAATTGTGTTTTATCTGTATTGAAAGAAACTGCATGTTTTTATAATTTGGACTTAAAGTTACAACCCCAGATCTGTAAATTCCCTTAAGTTTTTCCTTAAGTTTTTGCCTGTATTTTATCCAATTGTACCTTCATTAGACTAAGGAAATTAGTAAGTATTAAAATATGACTTCCAAATACAAAAACAAAAGTCTGAATTTCCGCCTAAATGCATTTTCAAACATACATAGGCATTGGGGATATTTGTAACATTGGGGAATGTATCAGGTATACGCAAAGATAAAGACAGTTATTACATATATATATTTTCCTCTCAGTTGTATTTGGCTCAGCACAGACATTTCTGCACTAAACCTTTGGAGGGAATTAATGCAAAATGTTCAGTACATGTGTCACTTTGTTTTATTTGATTTCCTCATGAACAAGCAGCCGGTAGCAAAGTTATGGCTGCAGATTTCGTGGTAAATGTTGTAATGGAAAAAGTGGAATGTGCGCTCATTTTATTCTCTTTTTAAAACGTTGTTGCTACTGAAAATATTGTTTCCTTTTAAATGATGAGTCTTAATTAGTACACATCAACAAAGCCCATGAAATATTCCCTAAGGGGAAGTGTCTTTATGCAGGGACTAATTGCTCAGTATCCCACACTATCACCAGAGCCATGGTTTGCCTTTTGTCACTCAAATGAGGTCTGCTGTACAATTTGTGTTTGTGTTGTTTTGTTGCTTTCCCTCTTTTGTGTCATAATAACAAGGATGCTTTGGGAATAACTGTTTACCCGTACCTCTTACAGCTGTTTCTATCCTAAGTCTTTGACTGGCTGCTCAGTGACTGAGTGGATTATTCACACATTACCACCAGCTCTCAGGTGTCATACTTCACAATGCTCAGCGTACAGATACAATGTGGTTTATGCATATGTATATGGTAACCAGCATAAGCATAACTACAAAATAACTATATAATTTGAGCCAATGAAAAAACTGTTGTGTTGCACAAAACTTGCACAAGTGATTAAACACTACAACCACACCAGCAGTATGTTACAGTCTGAGACTAAAAAAACAATAAAAAAACACTACTCTCGTCCATAGCACATCCATCCAGTTTTATTGTTTTTGCAGTGACATGCATTGAAGACTCCCTTGCTTTGATTTATTTTACATCTTCAGGTGTTGAATGCATATTTTTTGCTGTAAGGGATATGTGTATAATAAGTGTTGTGATGTGAATCACGATCCTGTTCTCAATTAGGAAATTAAACAAACTTGCTTCTACTACCATGGTGTTGGCTTCTTATGTTTTGTACGGCCATCACCCATTTCTTCCATGCCTTGACATTTCCTTAAGCACCACCATGAAAACATGTTTTCCTAGTGCCAACAGCAGGTTCTGGTTTTCCTTAATTTCATCTACCAGATCAATTGCACATTCTTGGGTATAGATCCATAGATATGAATTGCTGCTATACATTACTTTTTAAATGAATATAGGTTAATAACTTTTGGGTGGATTGATCTGAAATTGTTTACAGATATTCATGGTCCACAGGGGATGCAATTCAACAATACACAAACCAAAACAATTAAAAATACAATCCTAAGCCTAGCTGCATTTTATGTTCAGTGCTAACTTGCAAATGTAAACATAAGAACATGGTAAAGAAAAATGTAAGTGAATATCTAATTCTAGCTTGGTCACAGGTTGTCGTTTATTATTGGTTGTCAATCTGAAGAAGGCGGTTCTTAGTGTCAGCTGTCAAATAGAGCCAATCTTGACCTTCTCTCTATTTGATGGGCGGCATTTGATAATTTGGGCTTTTTTACCGGTTTCCACCTGTGGAAAAATACACCAAAGATGTTCAATACATTGGTCTATAAATAAGTTTGGGTTCAACCTTTTCCCCTAAGAGATTGGTTAAACGTTGACATTTGTTTTCTTAGTTAAGTTTTAAGGTCAAGCCAATTATGTCAAGATTTTTATCCTAACTAAAATGAACGAGTTTAGTGCACTTGCCAATTAGGCCTCAGCACAACCACGAATTCGAGTGTGCGATACAGCGGGGAACAAGTAGCGCTACGGGGAAAAGATGGTGGAGTTCACTGCGGTTCAGGTAAGTTAGGTCTTTTTTGTTGTCTTTACATGTCACTAAAGCATCACATTTTTGTTTAAGACTATGTATATTGTAACATCGTAAGGCTACATTTTTGCTTAAGTCCCTTGACATTGATAATGTTTTAACCACTAGCAGCTAACTTGTACTATCAGAGTTAGCGTTGTTATTGATGGCATGCTAACGATAGAGAGCCGTATGGCTGCAAACGTTAAATCGTACAGTAAAGTAACTAATTAGACATGGCCAGAGCCCTAGAGAGATAAGAGTTACGACACTCTTTGATGTCGCTGCCAGCCGGTCACGTGGTTTATGTATGCCGGTGTTGTGTCACATTATGCCTCCCCGTCATGAAATGCCCCCCTTGTCACGGGAACGCGCATTTCTAAATGACACGTTTCACCTCTAAATGACACGTTAACACCATAGGTTTACACCTTAAAACGATGTTTAAAACGAAAAGTAAACGTTCAGGGTTTTTATTAATGGTAATTTTCAGACTGTGAGTTGTTTAGTGGTAGCTCATAGTCTTGATTCTTCTGGTTTAACTTTTCGCTCCGTATTTGAGGTGTCGAAATTCGTTCGTCACTTCCTTTTCAGTTTGTTTTTTTAAATGTTTTTTTTTATCATTATTGTTACGTCCTGTCTGTATAAACGTCCTTTAAAATGTATTGTTTAATTTTACATAGTTGTCATCTAATAATCAAAATATGTTTACAAATGTTACATAGTCTTTGTCAGCATATATGCTATGCGTACAAAATAAAAGTGTGACATTCATGAAACTTGCTCCATTTATTGGTACCAGTCCTAGAACCATACCCTGAAAAATGCTTGAGGGTGGGATTCATAGAAACCTCTTTTTTTTGGGGGGGGGGGGGCATTATATGACAGGCCTGGCCATCACAATATGCCCCCCCTTGCTATCTTACAAAATAAAAGTGTCACATTCATGAAACTTGCTCCATTTATTGGTATCAGTCCTAGAACCATACCCTGAAAAATGCTTGAGGGTGGGATTCATAGAAACCTCTTTTGGTGGGGGGGGGGGGGATTTTATGACAGGCCTGGCCATCACAATATGCCCCCCCTTGCTATCTTACAAAATAAAAGTGTCACATTCATGAAACTTGCTCCATTTATTGGTACCAGTCCTAGAACCATACCCTGAAAAATGCTTGAGGGTGGGATTCATAGAAACCTCTTTTGGTGGGGGGGGGCATTTTATGACAGGCCTGGCCATCACAATATGCCCCCCCTTGCTATCTTACAAAAATAAAAGTGTCACATTCATGAAACTTGCTCCATTTATTGGTACCAGTCCTAGAACCATACCCTGAAAAATGCTTGAGGGTGGGATTCATAGAAACCTCTTTTGGTGGGGGGGCATTTTATGACAGGCCTGGCCATCACAATATGCCCCCCCTTGCTATCTTACAACATAAAAGTGTCACATTCATGAAACTTGCTCCATTTATTGGTACCAGTCCTAGAACCATACCCTGAAAAATGCTTGACGGTGGGATTCATAGAAACCTCTTTTGGTGGGGGGGCATTTTATGACAGGCCTGGCCATCACAATATGCCCCCCCTTGCTATCTTACAACATAAAAGTGTCACATTCATGAAACTTGCTCCATTTATTGGTACCAGTCCTAGAACCATACCCTGAAAAATGCTTGATGGTGGGATTCATAGAAACCTCTTTTGGGGTGGGGTGCATTTTATGACAGGCCAAACAATAGTTGCATTGGTTGAAATGACAGTGGACACTAGTTAATGATGGTTCCTTCGGGGCATTATGTGCATCCAGGGCACAAGTACGGTTGATCAACTGGCGGCCTTTGTACACATTGGTGGTGGTACCACTGCTGACAAATGTCACAGCAAATCTGAGAAAACAATAAATACTTGTTATGTAAGGTATGCATTATGGGATTTTGTTATGATAATAGAATATCTCTAATGTATTTCCCACTAACATTCTAACCATTCCTTCAATAATCGAAATCTTTCAAAAACATAAATGTTGTGTTATGAGAAAGAAATACATTTTCAACAAAAATGTATGGAAAAACAAGCAAAACATTAATCCTTTATCAGTTAATGCTGAAGATGCCAAATATAGTAGCAATTACCAACGCAAATGTTATGTTGATAAAGTCTGGAAACATATTTCTGCTAATTTTCTTTATTTGTAATGTGCAATAGGAAATTACCCAATGTTCTTCATCCTGCTCCTCCATCCCGCAGTAAAAGCAAAGCCTGCTTAGATCATCTGTTGAGACAAAACGTAATCAATATCTTCAGATAAACCACATTACAGATTTGGGGTCAAGGTGACCCATTCCAATTTTTGACTAAAAGGTCAATTATATAAGGACACATTTGTTGTGGTCTTTTATTATTTTGTGTGAAGAAAAGGCAAAACACACACAAACACATAGATTTTCTAAATGATTAAATCTGAGCACAGAGGAGCCATCTGCTCCTTCTTTCACTATCTCCTTACCCTCTTTAGAATGGGAACCTGCACAATGTCATTACAAAACATCCAAAAACTTCTTTCGCACTGTACGCATCAATTTAAGTTTGGTTCTCATGGTTCTTTTGTTGTTCATCACATTAGCTTTACAGCTTTGATTATAATAAGTTCAAGGTAAAAATTAACTGAGGATATCAGTTAAAAGTAATACACACCAATGAGCACATTGAAAGGAGGAAGATGGGGAAATCTCACATCTTAAATAAACCGCAGAATTGAAAGGGTGTGTTAGAGTGTGACGTGTGTAGCCTATATGAAATTGCAGTTGAAGATGCCTGCCTGCGATGCTTCATATGTTATCTGTTTGGAGTTGAGATACACAATATACTGTATGTAGTGACTATTTACCCTAATCTATACTTAAGCCACTGTGTTGCTTTTAAAACCCTGATAATGTCCCTGGTCAACAGTACCAATGGTCCAAGCAGTGATACAATACAACAATTTGCATGGCACATTATTAATATACTAGGTTATTGATGCATACTTATGAGATACAATTAATAAAAGTAACTACATGAAGTCATTGACAATGTTGAGAAAAGGTAACAAACCAGATTCTCTGAGGAGAGAAGTAGCAATGTCCAGCCTCAGCTCGTGCACTGCCTTCTGTGAGGTTTCAAACTCAATTGACTCCCCCAGTAAAATCTTCTCTGCAAACTGAAGAGAACCTTGATTAGTATATGGACTGCATGGTCTATGATTTTACCCTCAAATGGAATACAGACAAATTACCCAACAGATTTAAAGAATGACATGTTGTATATGTGTAGTTTGACACAATTCAATACATCTTTGATCAAGATGTATAAAAGCAAGTCAAGATATTCAGTCTAATTGCTACTGAATTTGAGTTTGAGAGTAATGTTTGGCTAAATGCATTTCACACTCACTTTTAAGGCCAGGACACCACAGGATGTGCTGTCTTGTTGGCGATTATGGGGGAGGGTGCTGCATGTCCATCTTGACACCTTGCAGCCTTTCATCCTCATAAAGGCTCTACAGTATGTATATAGTACATGTGTCAAGATGCAGCACATCATTGTCAAAATACTCATAAAACACCGGAACTAGTACACTGTATCAAATGTACCTTGTAGACTGCAGGCACACCTTCGTTTTGCCTTTCCCTTCTCCAAGTGGATCCAAGAAGAGGGTTTTCTTCTCATGGGGGTACATTACCTTTTATTATTCACATGGAAACACAACATGCATTAGGCAGGAACCATACATTACGCAGGTACGATGTAGGGTATTGTTTAGATTTGATCAATAATAAGTGACAGCATGTATGTGTGGCCCGGTTATCTTGCAAATCACTAATTATATATGGTGTATACAGCACTATAGATACAGATTGGAGCTTAAAATATGCTCCTATTCTCACCACCAACATCCAATGACGGTTCTCGTTCACAATTCCCACGATGACTGTGTGCCATTGGATCAACCTGAGAGTAGTTGCACAAGTATTACATTCCTGTTGAAAAATGCACATTTGCAACATTTACAAAAGCAAAGTCATTCCAATCATGTACATACCCGGATTCTTCCAAATTTGTGTTTCCAGATGGCGGTCATAGCGTAGCTGTCAATAACAGCTGCTTGACCGTCATTGCGCTGGTTGATGTTCCTGGGTATGGTTCTAGGACTGGTACCAATAAATGGAGCAAGTTTCATGAATGTGACACTTTTATTTTGTAAGATAGCAAGGGGGGGCATATTGTGATGGCTAGGCCTGTCATAAAATGCCCCCCCCCCCCCCCCCCCCCCCCCCAAAAAAAGAGGTTTCTATGAATCCCACTCTCAAGCATTTTTCAGGGTATGGTTCTAGGACTGGTATCAATAAATGGAGCAAGTTTCATGAATGTGACACTTTTATTTTGTAAGATAGCAAGGGGGGGCATATTGCGATGGCCAGGCCTGTCATATAATTCCCCCCCCCACCAAAAGAGGTTTCTATGAATCCCACCCTCAAGCATTTTTCAGGGTATGGTTCTAGGACTGGTACCAATAAATGGAGCAAGTTTCATGAATGTGACACTTTTATTTTGTAAGATAGCAAGGGGGGGCATATTGTGATGGCCAGGCCTGTCATATAATGCCCCCCCCACCAAAAGAGGTTTCTATGAATCCCACCCTCAAGCATTTTTCAGGGTATGGTTCTAGGACTGATACCAATAAATGGAGCAAGTTTCATGAATGTCACACTTTTATTTTGTACGCATAGCATATATGCTGACAAAGACTATGTAACATTTGTAAACATATTTAGATTATTAGATGACAACTATGTCAAATTAAACAATACATTTTAAAGCACGTTTATACAGACAGGACGTAACAATAATGATAAAAAAAACATTTAAAAAAACAAACTGAAAAGGAAGTGACGAACGAATTTCGACACCTCAAATACGGAGTGAAAAGTTAAACCAGAAGAATCAAGACTATGAGCTACCACTAAACAACTCACAGTCTGAAAATTACCATTAATAAAAACCCTGAACGTTTACTTTTCGTTTTAAACATCGTTTTAAGGTGTAAACCTATGGTGTTAACGTGTCATTTAGAGGTGTAAACGTGTCATTTAGAAATGCGCGTTCCCGTGACAAGGGGGGCATTTCATGACGGGGAGGCATAATGTGACACAACACCGGGATAGTTCAAAACGCACTTCCGTTTCAATGCTTCTCTATGGCAAAAACAGCACAAACATGGTCAAAATAGTCATAGATTAAACCAACGCTGTTCTTTTTTAAAGATTGCTTTCATATTTACATGATGTGGTTACACTTTGTATGGATTGGCACTATTTATAAGTTTCGTTATTTAACGATATTTTGAGGGGAAAGTGTGGTAGCACAAGCAGGCTATGTTGCTGTCACTGCCAGGGCAGTCACGTCCGTAGTATAGTTGCGCTGCGCTGTCATGTTCTTCTATGGGACAGACAGACAGCAGCGATTGCATTATTGAATGGTAAATAATATATATATTAAAAAAACACACACACCCAAGTACTTTTTCAGCTGTAATTGCCTTATTGCATACTTTTTATTGACAGTTTTGCATTTGAAGAGGCAGGGTGACAACGGAAAGCTTGGTAGCCTATTACTTAGATACGTTTTACATTTTTGGAGGGAAACGTTTGTGTTCATGTTAGCATGGTGAAGACTGTTAACTTAATCATGTTAAGACTATGAATATCATTTTACCACAACAGTGGATGAACAATTGATATATGTGTTTGAACAAGAACAACAGGAAGAACAAAGTAAAAGGGACGAACACATGTGTGAACAAGTATTAAGAACAGTGTATGGAAAAAGTGATGTGATGTGGGATGTGTGTTAGAACAAAACAAAGTAAAATGAATGAGAAGGAGAACAAAGAGGGTTAGGGTTCAACAGAAAAAGATTAATTCAGCCAAAAAACACAATTTTGATTAATCTAAAGTGTAAAACAATCTTCAACACAGACCAAATTATTGCCCTTGGACAACAAAACATATGGTGGGGCAAAGAAACGATCAATTAAATTGAGAGAGTGGGAGACTAAAAATGATTACTATGATAAATATTCAAACTATTTACAAAACTATTTACAGAAGCTCCTGTTGAACCAGCAACAAAAACAGGTTTGTCAACAATAACGAGGCCACTTTGCCAGGGGGAGGTGATCCAGCGAGGAGACAATAAAGCAATTCATATTAGGTTCTGTTGAGACACTACAGAATATAAAACCTTCCAAGCCATGACCTCTGCCTGAAATCAGGACCACTCATGCCCCTTTCACACCAGCGCTTTTTGAGCTCTGGCTTGGAGCTGGAGCCTGAAAAGCGCCGGTTTTTCCTGTTCACACCGCAGCGGTGCCGGCTCTTAGCTCCGGAATCGGATTCACTTCCAGCTCCAAAAAATTGTCGGTCTAGAGGCAAGAGCTTCGGAGCTAAGAGGTGGCGTCGCTTACGTCTCTCTTACGTCGAGGCGTGCAGGAAACTAAACCCTCCTCCCCTGAACATGGGTCGACTGTCATACCTGCCTACAAGCAGTAGTGCTTATAAACACACTTTATAAAGTCAGGCAACACTAACCAGGCTTCGTGTGGTTCTGTTTATTTGTACCTTACTTTGACCATCCGTTCACTGTTATTGATCATTGTGGAGAGAGGCAGACGTTTTGTTTTGTATTATAGCAGCTATAGGATGGAATCAATACATGGGCTGCACAGGTTGTCGTGTCCGACTATCACAAGTAGAATCATAATAAAAATACGCCGGTAAAATGTGCCTGTAGAAAACGGTTTATGCCACAATAGGATAGCAATAGCAAGTAGTCAGTTTAGCTTCGGTTGCTATGCTAACATCACCCATTTTATACCAGAGAAACTTTCATAACAGCGTTGTGATGCCAAACAGCGTCAATTCAGACTGACACACATTCACTTAGGCTAAGGGGAACTGGGGATATGTATCAGCTGCTTGTGTGAGTCGGACAGTGAATACTTTAGAGCGGCCGCAGCAGTGTGAGCTAACCGGGAGCTAACGGAGGAGAATAAACTCCCGTGGAAGAGCAGCCAACACTGCAGCGGTCGGTAAATGCTGCAGAAACACATTAATAAACAATGAACCACGGCACTCTGGAGAAAAGCATAAGGTTGGAGAAGTCGTTATTCAATTTAATCTGGCTTCGTGTGATTAAAAGCAACACGATCATCGACCCGACGCAGTTCCCCGTTGTTGTTGTTGTGAGCGCCGTAATGCCGTTGGGGAGCAAATCAGCGATGTAAACGGTGACGTCATGACGCAGCAGCGGCAGCACCAGTCGGGTGCTAGGCGGTGTGAACAGAGCGGGAGCAGAAAAGGGAAACCGGAGCTGAACCAGAAAAGCTCCCGCTCGGAGCTAGAAAGGGAAAAGCGCTGGTGTGAAAGCCGCATCAGAGGAGAATGCAGCACATCAAACTGGAGTCAGGAGTGTGAATAACACATTTTGGCCAAAACAAATTGTTGCTTACCAATACAGTGACTGAACATTGGACACCAAAAAGTTTGACCTCATGTCGTCACGCAACACTGTTACTGCCCTAAGTCATTTCAAGATGGAGGAGTATGATAAGGCCATCAGCTTCCTCCGGGACTCCATCCATCTGTTTCGGGGCCTGAAGATCGGTCCCAAGGGCAGCTGGAAACCAGTCCAGACAGGACTGGTGATGGCCACAACAACAATCCTGGAGGTCCAGCATGACCTGTTGAGACAAGGGCACAAATTTGTTCTCACAAGCCGCTTCACTCCAGACTGCCTGGAAAACACATTTTCGTCCATTCGTCTGAGGAACTCTGTCCCAACACCTGTAGAGTTCCAATATGCTCTGCGCGCTGTCACTGTGGGTGGAAAAAAAAAGTGCTAATTATTTTTTTTTAAGTGTTTATTTTGTTAAAAATAAACATTTTGGATGCATGGATGCATGAAGGAATGAAGGATGAAGGAAGGATGAGCCTAAAAGGCTCATCCTTCATTCACTGCTGTAGAGTAGCCTATTCAGTAGGCTATTATTTGTTTAAGACTGAATAATACCTTTGAAGAACAATCATTAAACTAGAGTGTATATTACAATACAAAGGAATCTATCCTAGCATGCCATCAAGCATTAAAAAGTAGCGCTAGGCTAGTTGTACAGTACAGATGAGTTAACACGGAACAGTACCAACAAAAACAAAGTACAGTCAACATGTCACATCATTAAATGTTAGTATATCCCAAAATTCAATGAAATATTAAATGAAATATTCATCACAAACGCCACCTCATTTCTACTAGTGCTAGCAGTTAAGTCATATCATACAGATAAAGCCGACTAAGGATGGCTGACACGGTCAGGTTCAGCGGATACAAACCAAAATAACAATAAAGACACATAATCAATCTAAATCCTGCTTGTTAGTTACCCAGCATCAATTGATATATAAGCTGCTAGCGATTCATTACTGAAATCTTACCTTCAAAGCTGACGAAGTCGCGCTAGCTAACTAGCAGGCAATGCTAGCTAAATTGGTTGTAACAACCAGGATAAAATATAGATAATTACGCTGTGCATATACAAATGAAGACCAGTATAAGCATCATAAAGGGCCTCTGATACAATATAGACAGTTGACAATTCAAAAGAGTTCGATATTTCAGCAACTTACCTCTGGAACTAATCGACGCGCCGTAATGTAAGTGAATGAGGTCCAACCTATTATACATCCATGGGTTCAACGCCCAAATGACAATATTTTTGAACTATTTCGATGTCCATACCCCGGAAGTAGGCGCCGAGTGTCGTAACTCTTATCTCTCTAGGGCTCTGGACATGGCGTCATTTCTGTTATACGTAAAATAAATAAATTAGTTTAAATATATTTTCGTATCAAAAAATGAATTTGTGCTAATCCAAAAACTACCAAAATTGCCCTGGCAAATCATCTCCAAGTGCTATAGTGGCTAAAACTGAAGGGGAGCAAGTGAACATACCATCTTTAATTAAAGTGGACCTATTATGTTATATTGGAAAAATATATTGTAGGGCCATTACAATAAGTACATTCGACCAGGAAGACACAACCTTGAAGAAAACAGAATCATATAAGTACATCAGGTTTCATAGAGCCAAACATTTCAAGTGCTACTCAACTGGCTTTAGATAAGCCAGTCCTTTATTAGTATATAAGTGCTTTGTTAATAGTTCTATCGCTCGAAGTGGAGTCGAAAGAGATGAGTTTTCAGTCTGCGCCGGAAGATGTGCAAGCTATCTGCTGTCCTGATGTCAATGGGGAGCTCATTCCACCATCTTGGAGCCAGGACAGCAAACCCACGTGTTTTTGCTGATGGGAACTTGGGTCCCCTTCAGCAAACCCACGTGTTTTTGCTGATGGGAACTTGGGTCCCCTTCGCAGCGAGGGTGCAGCGAGTCGTTTGGCTGATGCAGAGCGGAGTGCACATGCTGGGGTGTACGGTTTAACCATGTCCTGGATGTAGGAAGGGCCAGATCCATTCGCAGCATGGTAAGCAAGTACCATTGTCTTGAAGTGGATTCTAGCAGTTACTTGAAGCCAGTGGAGGGAGCGGAGGAGCGGAGTAGTGTGGGAAAATTTAGGAAGGTTGAAGACCAGGCGAGCCGCTGCATTCTGGATGAGCTGCAGAGGTCGGATGGCACATGCAGGTAGACCAGCCAGGAGGGAGTTGCAGTAGTCTAGGCGTGAGATGACGAGAGCCTGGACCAGAACCTGCGTCGCTTTCTGGGTCAGCTGGGGACGTATCTTCCTGATGTTGTAAAGCGTGTATCTGCAGCAGCGGGTTGTAGCAGTGAAGGACAGGTTGTTATCTAGGATCACACCCAGATTCCTTGCAGTCTGAGTCGGGGAAACAACACAGGTGCCGATGTTGATAGTCAGGTCAAGAGTGGGACAATCTTTTCCCGGAAAGAAAAGCAGTTCAGTCTTGTCAAGGTTGAGCTTGAGGTGATGAGCAGATATCCACTGAGAGATGTCAGCTAGACATTATTGATGAAAGAACACCTGAAGGTGGATTTCAGGTTGAGTGCTGAACATGTCAGCCTCATCACACAAATCCAGGGGAACCTGGATTTCTGAAAGATTATTTTAAATGTTTTTTTTTACTGGTGGTGCCTGTTTTATGTAATCAATGTAATTATAACCTCATCTCTGCCTTTAATTAACATGTCATTATGTCAGTAATATCCCTCCTCGTGAGGCATTTTCTCTTGCTTATAAAGCTTATTATTTGTCAATATTAATATCTAACCCTCTGAGTACAGCTTGTAGGGAGTGTGTTGCTTCTTTCTCATATTATCACGAGTTCTTAATTCATCTAATTTGCAAGTATTTGTCTAAATATGTCCCACCTGCTAGATATGAACTGTATATTTTCGGACCAATGAAAGTACTCGACTATTGTATGTTCTATTCATGGTGTAACATCTGAAAACATCTCAAATTGAATTCTTAACTTCAGTAACTTATAGTGACTGATCAACAGAGGGCGCCATTGCATTATTTCCAAAACGTGTTTTAGTTTTAATTAAGTATTTAACCTTGTACTTAATTAATCATGTGACATTTTGCTACTCGTACAAAGAGTGCTCTCTTTAATGATACATTAACATGTGATGCTCCACTTCCTGACTTATTGGTATGAACATGCATGTGTAATGTTAATAGCAGTAATATGACTAACATGGTGAGAGGCGGGAGCTTCATAAAGGCTGAGCATCTTGAGAATAAACATCATTTCCATTATACAACCAAACAGCATCTTATTGTCTGAACAGAGATTTAATTTAGCAGTTTATATACAAATGTTCATGCATTCATGGAAACTATGGCTGTTCAATTTCTGAATTGTTATCCATGAATAGACTGGGCTCCAGTGGGGAACACCAGGATGATGAAAACGACCACATGAGGTTTGTGTGATGAGTCCGAGCTGCTTGATTATTATCCTCCTGACTTAAGGCTCATGGCCTACAGTGAAATCCCTGCATGATGCAATTACGGAAAACTGTAGTCTATTATCTGAAAGGGAACAATATGTTGTTGTATTCAGGGAATGTTTTATGACATGAAATGTTCAATCTATAGGAAAAAGTACTTGGATCTAGTACAAATATAAATAAATACAAAATACAGCCGCATTGACTATAAAATATGAACATACAGTATCAAAAGTAAACGTAGCCATTATGTAGAATGGTCCCTCCCATTGTGATATACAATTATTGGGTTGTATCTTCTTCATCTTGTCTTCTATAACAATGTGTCAGATTGTATGAACTGATCATTATGTAAACAAGAATAATATTTGGCTCTTTTATTAATATCTCCATATAGGTTTATTTACTTACATTGGTGTAATTTATCTAAGTATTGTACTCAAACACAGTTTTCAGGTACTTGAAGTGCAGGTACATTTTATACCTTATACTTCTACTTCAAAATAGTCCGCAATGAGAATAATATACAACTTTGAAAAGACATTACTCTGTTGAAATATAATTCCACTGTGCAGTGTATCGCCCCCACATTGAATCTTCCCCGGTTCCCAGGTATAAATGAATGAAAGTATCTCCTGAGGGCAGGACTCACTGCTCTCCTCCATAGCTTTCCTCCCAGCTCCGGGTTGCATCATGCCTGGCAACTTTGCTCCAATAAGGGGCTTGCTTTGTGCTCTCTGGAGGGAGGCGGGTGCAGGGTTGCTATCAACAGGACGTGAGTAAAGCAAATACCCACACATGAGCAACATCACCCGCGGAGAGGTAACACCACTGGATTGGATTTCCCCCGCAAATTTGGAAGAGTCCACGTGTTTATTGCGTGATTTGTGCATGGAAGGAAATCCCTAAGTGTGTGTATCGGTGTTTTGTCACAGGAAAAGCGGCGCCCAAATCTGTCCTTCCTGAGGACGGGGGACCTTTTTAAAACATTTTTATATCAACAACAATGGACTGCGTTTCCACCAGGAACTTTCTCTTGGAGACACACATATGGGATTGTAGCGCTTCAAACCCGGACGACATTCGTGTGTTTTAGTTGTTAAACGGTGTGACTGTCGTTGAGGGGGGGGTCGGCGGTTGGAGCCCGTGATGCCGGCGAGGAACAGGTACAACCTGGTGGATGATTTGGCGGACTCAAGGGTGCCGCTGCATAACGAGGAGGCGTACCAGCATGGGATTTCTTTCCAAGCCAAGGTGAAATAAAAAAAAGAGTGCTTCTTTTGGAACCGTGTGACCACACAGGGAATTCAGTATAGTGTTGTTTTGGAGCGGAGTGGCAGGTGCAATGGAGCCTTTCATCCGGTACCCAGCATGAAGTTTGAACGCATGACATTGTACTCAACTAACTGCACAGCACACATGTGGTATATTGTTGCAGGTCTTATGGAGATTGTAGTTTATGTAATCCCTAAACATTTAGATAGATGTCTTTTTTGTGTGGTGCTTACAAGTAGGCTACTGGTGGAAGAGGATTCAGTAGCAGTAGAAATACTCAAGGAGGCTAACATTCAAAATGGTCCTTTAAAGTACTACATTATTGTAGCACAAAATTACTTAATGTTCAACAAGTTCTAATTATGCAAACAGGACTAAAATCATACATATATTTCATTTATTGGCTTTTACAGAGCATTAATGTGTTCATCACTTTCTTGATGCAGCTTGTTAAGAGAGCTGAATTGAACTACTTTATATATGGCTGTGTACTGTAGGTTACCCAATAATAATATATCAACATAGGCTACAGTATGTGACTTGATATATTTGAGGTGATTTGTATTAATGATATTAACCTGCAAAATACTTTAGTATAAAATAAATGAAGGGAAGTAGAAGTGCAATATTTGCCTTAAAAGGTATTTGAGTCCAAGTATAAATAGCATAAAATGGAAAGAAAAGTACTATACCTCAAAATAGAACTTAAGTAGTCTAAAGTACTTGAGTAAATGCACTTAGTTACTTTCCACTGCAGCTCAAAGTGAAGTGAATTGAGTGTATTTTCAGGTTTTCCCTAGTCATTGAATTATTAACATCTCGGAGAAGAAAGCTTGACAGTATTCTGTTTTTAGTGGCACTATTCACACAGCAATCTGCTACTTTATTATGGGCTTTCTTGATGTTTTTCTTTTCTTTCTTTTTTGAGGAGGGCAAAGAAGAGTGCAGTGGTAGAAAGGGTTACAAAAAGTGTTACTGTTGTAAAGTTCAATCACAAAACTGCTTGTACCTTCTATGCTGTTACAGTAGGACTGTTTATCAACTATGTTTCTCATCCATGTTGGTTTTCTTTCTCAATATGGCTTTATTTCAAATAATACATCCATATGCCACTATAGCAGCATGTACATATTATATCAAATGATCGTCAATTCATTAAAAAGTGCATTATTATCCAAACCAACAAATGGATTAATAACCCCCCCCCGAAAACATCTTATTTTGTGAATGGTCTGTTTTTTTTTCTACCTCTTTAGAAGCTGTTAAATGTTCAGCTGGAGTGTGTGGGATTACACCTCTGACTTTGTGTGTTTTTGTTTACTGCAGTATGTGGGGAGTCTGGACGTGCCCAGGCCCAACAGTCGGATGGAGATCGTGGCGGCCATGAGGAGAATCAGGGTAAGATGTAAACACAATGTCATGTGTGTGTGTTTAAGAGCGCACACGCCACAGTCCTGTGGTGATCTAATTTGAACTCTCTTTACAATAATGCACTGAGCACACACATCCAAAGAGTATTTGTGTCTGTCAGATGACATTTATATTGAGACCGTAGTGACGCATGCACCCACTGGCTGGACAACAGATCACGACTTCAGAGAAAGCAATGCAGGGGTGAATTCTGCAGAAAGAAAAAGCAGTAAGAGATTTATTGGCTGAATACTGTGTTACCCTTTCTATAAATGTTTTTAAAAGTTCAAGGACACAGTGTGTGGGCATGTTATGGCTACCTTTGATGAAAGTCAGTCTGTTTCCTTCCTGTGGAGAGGCTAGTAGCACAAATCAAACCTTTTTAGAATGAATGAGTTTAATTTCATTTCTCGCCTGGCATTTCCTCATTCTTATTCATACTATCGTATCATAGCCAGGCTTGTTGTTTTTTCTTCTTCCCATAAAGCATTAGCAGTCAGTAGTGTTACTATGGGGATCCTGTAATCATTTTCCCCTTTCATGTCCCAGTGGGTCAGCGTTTTCCTCTAGGAGCACAGTGGTATCAGAGACCTGGATTTATTCTGTCATTTAAGTGTGGCTCACTGTACTCGCTTGTTTCAGACATGACGAGGCTCTTTGAAGCTGAGTGAATTTGCAGCATGATTTTCTTTTTAAAGCTCAGCAAAGCCATAATGTGCATTCATCATCTTAGAAATGCGTGAGTTTAAAGGGGCCCTATTATGCTGTTTAGGGTTTTCCTTCCCTGTATTTTATACAGAGGCAAAAATGCCACTTTTATCTCCTACACCCAAAATGCACAACAAAAAGGTCTCCGTTTGTTACAGATTCCTTAAAAGATCACACCAATATCTTTAAATATCTCCATTTTGAATCCTATTGCAAAATCATTCAAAAACACTGGCAATTCATTACTTATTCAAAATGTTGCAGCTCCACAATTATGAAAACTGAAAATTAGCATAATAGGGCCCATTCAAGGCACAACATTCCAACTTTTTTTTTTACAGCAGTTTTGGGGAATCCGCCATGTTCTTTTTCAATACTTTGTTTTGGCTCCTCTAGTGTAAAGGATTGAGGTTGGAGAAGGCAGTGTATAACATCTGAGAAACCCTGCTGTTAGAGAGAGATATTTTAGGCAGAGACAGACGTTGTCACGGTTTGTGCAGGAAGCAGGACCCAAATGCAGATTAAAGTGACGAAAAATAGCTCCTTTATTTCAAGGCTCAACTATTAACAAATACAGAACAGAACACTCACCGCAGACCAAGTCAAAACACAAGACGAACCGACAAAGACAGACGTAAAAACCAGAACTTAAATACACCCAGGACTAATCAAACAAACACGAGACAGGTGAGGAGGTAGGAGAAAACACAGAGGCACCAGGTGAACACAATCGGGTAATCAGGGAGGGAAAACAGACAGAAAGCAACAAGCAGGAAACGGGGGTGAACAATTTACAAAATAAAACAGGAAACCCAAAGACAAGACAAGACAAAACAACAACACAGACAGGTGTGTGTGTGTGTGTGTGTGTGTGTGTGTGTGTGTGTGTGTGTGTGTGTGTGTGTGTGTGTGTGTGTGTGTGTGTGTGTGTGTGTGTGTGTGTGTGTGTGTGTGTGTGTGTGTGTGTGTGTGTGTGTGTGTGTGTGTGTGTGTGTGTGTGTGTGTGTGTGTGTGTGTGTGTGTGTGTGTGTGTGTGTGTGTGTGTGTGTGTGTGTGTGTGTGTGTGTGTGTGTGTGTGTGTGTGTGTGTGTGTGTGTGTGTGTGTGTGTGTGTGTGTGTTCCTAAAATTCCCAAAGCTGACAAATCAATAAAGTTGTAAACCAAACATGATCATGGAGGTGATAAACGGCAGGGCGAGGCAGAACATAAAACAGGCTTTTTATATTTATTTATTGACATGATGTTGCTATTCAAAGATATACACTCATTGGAGCTTGTTTATGTCCGAGTATGATGATGCATACATGTTCTGTATCTTAAGTACCTCTTACGGTCTAAAGAAAGCCTACATTCATAATGAATGAGTTACTATTCTGAGGTTGCAACTCTCAGGCTATTGTATGGAATATCTTTGTTTTTAAGTCAAACAGAACACTGCTTCATGGAGTCCCCTGTGTGACTAATGTGAACAGAGAGTCTGCCTGAGTGCACCGATCTATAAAAATACAACCTCATTTATTATATATGTGTGTTTAATGCATTCTCTGCTTACTAGAGAGATGTTACTATTTTTGGACCAGTGGATTGGCATTTTTACTGTGTCATGTTATCTTTGAATTACTTTACTTTTACTGTGGCTACAAGTGGCAATCAAAAGATAATGTAGAAATGTATTTCCTGATATTGAAATATATTTTTACTGCAAAAAAAAAGTGAGTAATGTTCATCCTACATTTTGTAGGCTAGATTAAGGAGTAAAGGCATCAATCTAATGAACATTTAGAAGTAAATTTAAAAGGCTATATCAACATTGAGTTGAACACGGGTCTGTTTTATATCTTGTGAGTCAAGTTTTTTTATCCAAAGGTTTTTTAACTTCTTTTGAAAGTTCCATTGTCTCATTTCTTAAGTCAGGTACTGCCTTGTAGAATCAATAGTACGCCTGGTGTGTGTTTGTGTGTGGCCCCGGGTTTTGAAACACATGGAAAGCACAGATTGTTTCTTGTGGCCAAACTCTTCTTTAGGGAGCCCCCTCCCACACTGTGCCTACACTGAGTGAATGCAAACACATTTAGAGGGTGGGCGTGCGCTCTGCGTTGGCTGCCAAGTTAAACGTGATTAGCTTTGTGCAGCTGAATATTGACTGGCCTTCCTGACTCTCGCCTCATCTCTTTTCACTGAAACCTTGTCTTTATTTTATTTTTAAAAGAAGCACAACCATTTAGCTGAGGGACTGAGTGTGGAGGAGAGTGATTAAAGAGAGTGGGGAATGAACTGATGGCACTGAGGAGAGAGACTAGAGTCCTGAAATCAAGAGGGGTTGTTGGCTGGCAGAGCCGAAGTCGTTTCATCTCCCTCGACTAATCTGTTTAGTCTCAGTGGATGTGAGGAAACAGGAGCAAACATGAGCAGGGAGGCAGAGCAGCCTGATCCTCGCTGAACAAACACTGAATCTGGGTTTGACAGTGCTAGTTCAGTCAAGTCCTCACACACCTGCCATTCCCACAGCGAACAAAGAGAAAAAGACACAATTTTGTATCCTGTGGATCTTTTCAGAGTTGTGTTTTGTTAAACCTTCTCCCATTATGTCTGATTGGTCCTACTGTGCTGGTTCATAATAATTACTTTCATTCAGTTTGACCGGTGGCTTAGAAACCGCCCCAGTAGTGAGTTCACTTAGTATTTGCACGTATGAATGTGTGTGTGAGCTCCAGTGCTTTATAATAGAGAGACCCCTTGCATTGTAACGACCTCCACAATTGATTAACGAGGCTGAATGATAAAAGTTGCATCCCACACGGAGAGATGTGGTTTAGTCGCTCACAGCTCACTGCTTTGGAAAAGGCATGTCCTGGAATATCCTTGGGAAACAAGCAGGCCGATGTCTCCTCTACGAAAAAAAATTACGGACATTCTCGCCTCCTCACCCCTTCTCTCTCCTCCTACCAGAATAGACGGTCTCAATTGAGCACATCTCTGCTATCTCCTCAGTGCTGACAGGAATAGATTTAGGCTGAGGGCAGGCTGCATGCCTCCCTTTGAATTTTGATCGGCTCTAATGGGATTTTAAGCCTCCCTCGTGTCCGTCAGGATGCAGCCTCCGTCCTCTCGCTGCCAAGAGTCTTGCTGGAAATTGCCTGGCTCCCTTTGGTCCCATTAGTTATCCGGACATCTCAAGTTAGAATATTTCTCTGTCGTGCAAGAAAAAAGCAAACCATATCGTTTTTAGGGTTCCTCTATTTCAGTATAGTGCTGTTGAGCCTGTATCAGGTTTTTTTAGAGAACTGTCATGACACAGAAGTCAGGAGCAGATCTTTGACTGCCAAGAGGAATGAAGTGAGAAAACAGGCACTCTGGACCCGTCAGAGCGCAACAGCATATTTATTTATTTTGTAGTTTTACCTTTTTTGTGTCAATTTTTTCAAAAACTTTAGTGAACAAAAACAGCTCTGGGAAGCAAATACAGTTACATATTGGTACATTCTGGCATGCAAATATTGGCATAACATCTTTCCATTGTATACTTTGCTTGAGGATTTTGTCAACTAAAACCCCATGAGATGCTTTAAAAGCCAAATAATCAAGCAAGGCTAAGGCATGTGTGTTTAATATGAACCATCTTGTTTCTCTTCTCTATGTGACCACCTGTCTCTCACTCATACAGCACTGTGGCAGCAGTCAACTCTATTTGCCTGCAGCCAAAATAAATAACTTCCACCAGAGGAACAGAGAAATATTTCACTTTCACCGTAGGAAATATTTCTCTAGGTATCAAACTGTCTTACTTTATATTCACTCAGGGAGACTGAATATGCTACATTTCAACAGCTGTTGCATAGTTGAATATCTTTCTGTTATCGTGGACTCGTATTGACCATTATCGGTGCCAAACAATATGGTGAACGATAATCCCACCTTATGTTTACTGTCAATCACATTTTTGTTTAACAATGACACATCCTGCATGTCCCAGAAACCAGGGGGAGAAATGAGAGCACAGATTAACTCGTGGGGGGTAACAGATCTTAAGCAAAGTGAGGACGAATGGAAGGGTGCTGTTCTATGTGCACTCACATGTGTGAAAGTGGGATATGCACTATTTAGGGGAGGCATGACACATATTTGGTGGGGGGGGGGGCATTGTTTTCACTTTGTATTCATGGTAGCTTAATGGCAGATGTACAAGAGCATAGTCGCTGACCTATATGTGTACTGGATCAGACGTGATTTTAGCTTTGAAAGGGGTGCAGCTACTCTTTGTTTAACCGAACCCCCAGAGA